TAAATTATACCGTCAAAACTGAGCCAAAGTGTGTCGTCGCAGTTCATCTTTTAAGTCGGTTTGATCGAAAACATTGCAACTATGAAACTTTCGGAAAAGGACCCGAATTTAATACACACAGTTTTTGAAATTTCTAAATCGCAGGCAAAACCTGATAATTATGAGAGAAATTGTGAGTGATCCTCACAAATGAAACAATTTAATTATAATTTTCGTAAAAACCGTACCTTAACAGAGGCAGATTTTTTCCTGAAATTGATTTTCCTACTTAGTGTGGTTTGAATTTTCCGAATTACAGAACAAGTCAGTAAACACTTGACTGCTGGTTTTCTCTAAAACCTTCGCATATTGAGAATTTTATAAAGACCAACTTATTCAAGAAATTTTCATTGTGTTCAGAAACTTTACCAGAGAGAAAAAACACTTACATTTCAGTTAATTCAAGTTTTTACAAGCTATTTCACATTTTCCAAAATTGCGATAAAAAATTGTTAGTTACAAGGGAGCGTGTGAGTTGATGGCTGGTCATAGTTAAAACTTTTTAAATAGCTGTTTTCTAAAACCGTTTTACAACAGCGGGTTTCCAAAGAAAATCATTTTTTACCACATCAGGTTTTGTGAATTTTGAACATCTCAGATCAAGTCAGTGAGTTATGAAGACAAGAGTGAGTTAATATATGACCATCCGCACTTAACACAATTTATAGATCATTTTTCGACTCATTCTACAACTAGCAACTTATTAGATAAATTTTAATTTATGCAGGCTTGCAGCCGATTTTTTTATATTTTTAACGTTTATAAATACATTTATTATAACCAATGATGTGGGAAAATAGAAGTAAATCTGTTTTTGCAAAGAGTAAAATCACTGCAAGTTAGTTTTACCAAAAGCATTACCGTGAAGAGGCTTTTAGAAAATTAGGTTGATTTTAATAAAAAGTTATAAGAAAAAACGTGAGTAGATGGTTGGGGACATTTGATACCCTTAAAAGCGCTTTTCCTAGAAACCGTCTAGTGACAAGAGTTTTCGTAAAAGCCCAATTTTTCGGGAAATTCTATGTATTGGAAATTGGATGTTGTATTGAAAATTACAGTTAACCCATCGAATGTCAGTTTTCTTACAAACCGATACCACAAAGGAAATTTTCAATAACCCAAAATCACCAAAAAACATACGCAAATTGTTGTGGCAAAAAGTTGGATTTTGTTGCCCAAAAAAAACAGCATTTCAGGTTTTTGAGTACTTGAAAACTTTCCCATGATGACTGCGAAAAAATTTCGCAAATTCTCTTGAAAATTTTCGAAATTTACATCTAAATTTGGATTGGGCAAGTGTGAGTCGAGCCTTCGATGGTCACGGTTGAATTATTTACAGTCGGTTCTCCTAAAAGCTAAACAAGGAGATTTTTTCGAATCATTAGTTTTTAATCGGAACTAATTGTGAGTTAAGAGGAAAATAGTGATTTGATCGTTAAATCGTATGATCAACTGTGTATTTGTGCTTTAAATGTGAACAAGCGATGTATTGTCGGGATTTGAATTATCTTCAAAAATATTTTCGAATTTCGTTCGTTATGGAGGAAATAGTCAGTGAGTGTTTGGAAGCAATTAAGCCATTGAGAAGAAGTCAGTTTGCTCACAAACCGATACGACAAGGCAAATGCAGAACACATATCCTGATTTTTATCTACAAAGTATTTTTACTCTGAAAATCTCCCAAAATATTTGTTATTTCGGGTTAGTTAGGGATAAGTGAGTTGATGCATGAGAGCATGCACCTCTAAAAGCGGTTTTTGCAAAAAGCAGCACTTTTTCAGGCAATTCAGTGTTCTATGAAGTGGTTTTTGAGATTTTGAAATCGCGGAAAATGTTAGTGAGTTACGAGGGGAACAGTGAGTCGATGCATGAATGGGAGCAGTTATCAACTCACTGATATTCCGTGTCTTCCAAAATTTCCCCTTAATAATAATTTTGTTATAAACATCTTATTTTAGGAATTAAAATTATCGATTAGACTTTTTTGCTATTTTTAAAGTGCGCATCCGCTTTCTTTAAAAAAACTTATTTGAGCAGGACAAAAATATTTGGGTTATGAAAGAAATAATTTTGTTTTAAATCTAAATGTGTACAATGCGATTATAAAATTTATGAAATTGCGGGAAAAGTCAGGGAATCCAGAAGACTAGAGTTAATGCAGACAACGTAAATTTCCTCCTTATACTTTCCAAAAAAAATGTTGCGACAAACCACATGTTTTTTAGGTTTTAATTGCCTTCAAAGCTTTTTTGCGTTTGGAAAATTCCAGCAAAAGTCGGTGAGTTATGAAGTAAAGAATGTGGGCGTAGCTCAAGGATAGATTACAGATTTCCTCAAAAGCTGTCCACTAATATTAGTCTCATTTAGTCAATTTTAACATCAACGGCATTTTTTTTTACTTGAAATTTCATTAAACAGTGATTTTTAGAGCAAAATGCGAGCCAATGCGCCAAATTTTCTTGGTGGGTTTATCACAAACCAAAAGTTATCAATAAAAAGCGTTTCTCTTACGATTTTTTGGTCACAAAATACGTTTTCATTTTTCTACTATTTTACAATGAACAAAATATTCAAAATTTCTAAAACTTGAATACGATTAATTCAGTTTTAAAGCGAAATATGAGAATAAACATATTTGAGCACAGTTGGTACGGGTCAGAAGAACGATTTTTTGTAGAAGAAGATACTGTTTTTTAAGACAACTTTCAGGCCTTTAATTGTTCTTAGTTCCTTTTAAATCGCCGTCAAACTTACGTTTGTAAACAGCCGAAAAATTCTAATTGCTGTTTGGTTGGCCCATTTGAACTCCAATGGTCTGAATGACGTTACATAAACCGGGAAAGTTTCAGCATTACATCATCTTTAGGAATTTTATTAAAAAGTCCTAACTGGGGAAGTTGATCAACAGAACGAAGTGGTGCGCTCTTAACAGATTCTGGAAGCCCCACTAATCTCAGGCAAATTTTTGCGCCTAAAGATGCCGTAGAAAGAGCCAAAGCCAGTTTTCGAAAAAAATGGTGTTTTTGTGTTGACGATTGCTTGAAAAATAATTGAGTTATCAGCAAAATAATCGGAGCTAAGTTAGCCATGACATGAAACTGAAATGATGTAGATTTTCGGAACGTATTCTGAAAGCTCCACTTAGCTTAGTTTGATTTTTATTCAGAAAACTACATTAGAAAACAGGAGAAATGAAGCCAATTCAGTCATCAGAACCACATAAGAATATAGCTGTTTCAACGCCAGAACTGCATTTTTAAACGGCGTTTGTGGCAAAATCTATGCGATCATAGGCCAATCTGAGGTGACATGGCCAGGGTGTTCTATGGAAGCACTGGCAAAGTTGATCAACTCACGCAAATAAAATAAATTCAGCCACACCTGAATCTAGTTGATTCAATTTTTTCTTTCAAACATAACCTTGCTGAATAACTCGATAAAACATTCCCATCTGACTTAGCATAGCATTAAAACTGGGGAAGTTGCGCAGCAAAAAAAGGTGTAGTGTGCCCTTAACAGCTTCTGGAAACCCCACTTGGCTCAGTCTGATTTTGATGCAGAAAACGGCATTGAAAAGCGGAAGGATTCTACTAAGCAACGACTATTCTACAGTGGCGATTGCCTGAAAATCAGCTTAGGTATGAACAAAAGAAATAGCGCTCATGGCAAGAAGCTAAAATTGTGCAGGGCGTCCTAAACATTTTCTCAAAAGCAGCACTGCGATTTTTATGCTGAAAACTGCATTAAGAGAGCAGACTTTTTCTAAAAACAGGGACTTTTAATATTGGCGATTTCCTGAAAAGTTGCGGGCTCATGAGCAAAACAAATAGAACTGGCAACTTTTCTGAAAAAAATAACTTATATCAGTCTGATTTTTATGCGGAAGACTGCATTAGAAAGAGAATTGTTGCAAAAAATGCTTTTTAGTGGTGGGGATTTTCTGAAAAGTTTCATGTTCTCTATTAATGGGCATGTTTTTTACAGTTCTACAAAGCCACTATCTTCTTTTAATATTTAATGATGTAAAGAAATTGGCCTGAAGTGATCGTCGACAGCCATATCGGTCACATGCCGGCAACGAAATCCGCAACTTTGATGTTCCTACTCGCGATATAGAAGCACCATTAAAGTAAAAAGGGCCATAACGTAAACAGCTTTACAACGTCATCCATTTCTTTGTACTAAGCGCATTTGGTCGACTTGTGTTCGTTGCCGAATAAATCGCTGACTTTTTCTGCCTTTTTTCCTGCCTCGTAAATCTATTGATTTTGCTCTTTAACACGGACGATTTAAAGCTCAGATTAGCGAGTTCAAACATGTATAGTGAGTTGAGGCTGAAAACAAGAGCAAGTGCCCCCAGCGCTTAGAGATCCAGAAGCTTTTAGCCGGCTTAGAAAAAGCATCCTCCAATCCCTATAACGTCAAGCTTGTTAAGCTAATCGACGTTGAGGGCCTTTTCGAAACGAACCGGCCTGGAAACGACATCTCGTCCCCATGTTGTATTCATTTGAATTTAAATTTCCACGATTATGTTCCAGTGTTTATTCCGATGCTAATTCATACGTCTGTTTTGGGCCCCGCGGGCCCTTTCAGCCTGCAAATGGATACTTCCATTCCGGAGGATTTTGGCGTGGTTTTACCAGTGTAAAGCGTGCCCTAGAATGGAGGAAACTAGCATTTTTTTTAAATCGAGCTTCCAGTCAATAATCCTGGCAGAACTGAATTGAATCTTTCACTAGCAGTCGGGATTACAATATTCCCCATAAGCGTCGAGCGTTTAATCCAATTTTCTGGAAAACCACCGGATAGGAAGGAAATCGCCGCGGTTCTAACGCGGAAAACTTAAATCCGCTTAGGGATTCTTGGACGCAACTTGGCTGCTGTCGGGAAATACATAAAACAATCTTCGAAACTCGCCGACTTAACGGATATTTTCAGTGTGGATGATTTTTTTTCGGCAGGAAATCGCGGCATTGAAGCTCCATATGCCGTCCTGATGTTCCTGCATGGGGAAAGTTTCGAATGGGGCGCTGGACATCCATACGATGGCAGTGTGTTGGCTTCTTATGGGCATGTCATTGTTGTCACCATCAACTATCGACTCGGCGTCTTAGGTAAGTACGCTTTTTGCCATTAGGTTTCTGGTAGAAAACCTTGTTTTTCTTATATTTAATACTCAATTTGAAACGCTTCTGTACCTTAAACTTTAAACTGAAGGACCAGTTTTGATAATTTGCAGTCTTTGCTCTTGGACTATAACCAAACGGGCGTGAAAATAACTAAAATCCAACTTCATTAAAAGTGCACCCACTTTAGTTGGTTCAATCAGCATCTCAATATTAGCTTTCTTCGTGGCAGCGATTTAGAATCGGTTTAGAACCAATAACGAACCGAATTAGAGCGCAGGCTCGGTTCATTCTGCGAACGTTTTTGGAACGACCTTTTAATAGGACCAACAGGATTTTAGTTACTTTGTGCCCAACAGTTATTTCCCTAAACTGAAATGCAATAAAGCGAAAGTGGAAAGACGGAATTGCTGTGTTTTTATGACTATGGTTTCATTGTGGAAAGTGGCAGTTTTTGATTATTTTTAATAAAAAAGAGTTATTGAAGTTTTTTTATGGCATTTAATTAATTAATTTAAACAATGCCACTGTACAAACGCAAGATCTTACATCTGCTGGATTTGACCTGCATTTTCTTTGTATCTGTACCTCTTGTCTGCATCCCGTTTCTTAATTCAAATTTATGGCTTTGTTTCCATTCACCCTGAGGCAAAAAATGCGATATAAACATAAAAAACTTAATAATTCTTAAACTTAAAAGTGTTGTACAAATTATTATACAATAAAACATTTTTGTGTTGATTTTTCTCTAGCAAAGTAAATGGATCGAAATAAATCACCTCCATAAGGAGCCCATAAACCAATGGAGCGATAGTTGAAAATAGAAAAATAAAAAAAACTTAGTTTTACTTAGTTTTAGGCGCAAGTTAAGTTTTAGTTTTTTTAAAGTCGGCGGCGTTTGAACTTTTTCACGCCGCGGGTAAAATTTGTGAGAAGTTTGAAAAGCGGATTTGACGAGTTTCCTTATGATCTGTGCCGAAAAGTGGCAGTTTTTGATTAATTCGAATAAGATAGAATTATTGAGTTTATTTATGTTTATATTGCATTTTATTAACTAATTTTGATCAGAACGCCATTGTAAAAATAATCTTGGAATTGCCTACATACAGGGTGATTCAAAATTGGCGTCATTTCTCTGGAGGTGTTGTCTGGCGGTGTTTTAGGAGTACAGAAAAAATAATAAAAAAATAATTGTTATTAAAAACTGAGAAATTTGCAAAAAACTATATTAGAAAAACGGCAACAATGTTTTTCAAGGTAATTTGCCTAATTAACATTACGTAAACACCTGTTGCTTCGTAATTATTTAAAACTCCGGTAACTATGGAATTATACAGAAAGTTGACAATGAGATAGACAAGGATAAACGGTAAATTTGACAGGAATCGTTGAATTACGGAACCTAATTTGAAACTCAAAACCTTGAATTATTAATTTGTTTGCAAATTACAAAAACATACATTTGAGTCTGTAACTCCAAACAAGTGCCTTATTATGCACTCTTCTCGAGCAGCTTCTCGTATTCGGTTATTAACTCCTGCTCAATTTATACCGGTGTCCAGTAATCCATTGGTTTAATGTGTATAAGAGAACTTTTGTAATATCAAAAATTGTCGTAATTTGAAGCAAAGATCGTAATTTTCCTTTTTGAGTGCTCCAAGTATTCCAATATGCTAACAATTAAACATGGAACACTTCCAAAATAATGCTTAATAACAAAGTTGAAATTCGATTTCCAACTGTTAATATCTTCAAGAAATTATCGAAAAAAAAATTTCAATGTTTTTCTCGTACCTTCCAAGTAAGCCCCAATTACCCCTTAAACGGAATGGCGCCAATTTTGAATCACCCTGTATGTTCGCAAGTTTATTCAAATTACTTCAAATCTGCAGCCTCTAACACTTTAACTCTCAGGCTGCAGGAAATGTCGGTGTGAACCTCATGTTTTGTTTGTTCTGCGCTTGTCAGAACCACTGATCCTTCCTTTAATCCTAGAACTGCTGGAACCCCTAACAAACGTGTTCTGAACCAGTTCTTACTGTACCGCGAACATAGAACTTTCGGTTCAGAACTAGTAATTTTTTTACCGGCATCACCGAATTACTCTTCGCGCATGCGACCAGTTCTGAACCAGTTCTGAATCGTTACTGCGAATAAAGCAATTAGCGACTTAAATTTGCTTCAGCACATGCGCAAAGAACGTTAAAGGAACCAATCTTCCAGCAATCTTCAAAGCAATAATCAAGTATGTTACTGTTTTCCACTTTATAAATTTAAAACAGTGTCCTAATTTATAGCGGTTTGAGCTTGCTCCTGGATTATTACGAATCTTTTAAACAAAGATGCCCGAAAATATTTTACTGGGCAATTTTACCGGCTTCGGAAATCCGTCGAGAAATGTAAAAGTATTAAGGCTCTTTCCATTTGACTGAGTTCACCAAGAAAGTGCCTCAATGGGAGGCGATCTAAAAATGCTCCTGTACTTATTATCGGACACCCATGAATTTCTAGCACATCGAGTGTTTCAGCGTGTGGCGGTCAAAATTTGCTCCTGGACTAATATGCGGTTCTCCCCCTAAAACGTGCGCAAAGGTGGTTAACAGGCAGTTAGATCAGCTTCTCAGTAGAGGTAGATATTTGGAAATCCTACAAGAAACTACCCACTGAAGGCTAAACTTCACCCAAAGTTTCGATGCATGATTTTAAATGTTTTCTAAGCAAACGTGCTTTTTTCAATTACGATCAATTGTCAACCGGGAAATTGCCAAGTCGATTATTCGCTTTTATTGTGTGAATAAATCCCTCCTTGCAAATTCTAACGTGCATCAGCGGGCGAATTGGATCCGACATATGCGTAAAAATCCCGTTTCCGGCACAATAAATCACTCATCTCTTAGACGTCGGTCCCGATTCCCATTGAGAATCCCCAGTGACTGAACAGGCACTTTTTCCGAATCGTTCCGGATAATTCGCGATTGATTTTCCCGGTGCCTCGACGTCTGGAAATGTGACGATATTCATGACTGTTGCATCCAGACCGCCTGATGCTCTAATTCCTGGGCGTATTCCGGCTTCGGCAAGCCGGGAGTTGTTAACTAATCTAAGACAAACTCCCGGCTCGAAACGTTCTGTAACTTCAGTTCCCCCGTTGGATGTTAATAAGCGAAACAAAACGGATCTAATCCCCATTTGCCAGTTAATCGTGTTGCCTGCGAGTGGGTTTCGGATTAGACTCTATCTGTTTGAGCCAAATATTGCATGTGCTTAATCGCAACATTCGGTTTGCTGACGATTTAACTTTGCACAGAATCTTTATTTTTATATGCTTTCCTGGGATCCAGGACACCATCTCCTTTTTGAGACACACATTTTCAACCGCCCGCTTCCGTAGAACTGGAAGCCATCAGATAGATGATGATTTGCAGGGAAGCGGCAAGCCAAAAAAATCTCTTAAGGTGTCACTCCAATATGTTGGCAGGCTGATTGCTCTCGAATTTGCCATCAATGTTCTGCTTTATTTTGATGATTATGTGATATCCAGCCAGTGGGACAACATACAAAATCCTTAAGATACTTGCTGGCAACTCAATTTATTTTGCAACAACAATTGCAATCTGGAGTGTTTGTAAACTCGCTCACTCGGGGTCAGCGTAAGTTTGAAAATTAATTTCTCACAATTCCAACAAAATAGGATCTGCCACCACTCGATAGAGCGTAGATCTATAGATTTTACATTCCTGCAGATCAATTGGTTATTTTCGTGAGCCCTGACCAAGTGGTTGCTAACAGGCTCTTCTCAATGTGTGTGTGCTCAACGTAAGTTTAAGAAATGAGTTTCTCAAAATGCCAACCAGACAGAGTCTGGGTAGTTGCACTTCTGGGTGGAGGAGCGTTTGGTCTACGGACTCGAATGCTTGGCTTTCCAGAAGCTGAATTTGCTGATTTTTCATCGTCCTTCATACAAACTTAATTGGTCAGAAACCCAACGGGATAAAACCTGGGAGGGTTGACCACCAGATGGGGTAGGACTTTTGCTATACTGGGCAAATTTTTGGTCAAATAGCTAGTCGCTTTTTCCAGCATCTTCGGTAGCAAATGAACTCTGGAAATTTGCTCCAGTGCTCAATTTTTGTCTTTGAATTTTGTCCCACTGTCTATCGGCAGGGAATTCCAGGCGACATCACAATGTCCCGTCACTTAGGACCCCATTAGGCTGTCGATGAGGATTTGACGATTTCTGAACGGGAGTTCTTTGGAAATATCTGCGGTGACGTCTATGTCGGACCGATAATGGCAAATAAATATTGTTTTCTGTATGAAAAAGTGGAAAAACTCCACGGGTTTTTACTTATCCCTGTCCTATACTGGGTGACGGTGAGCTAGATTATTTTCTAAGTAAATAAACAATTTGAAAATTGCGATAGAAGAGCATGAACACACATTGCGAATGGTTGAGGGAATAATCGAAGAATTTTCTCGAAATTCTCAGTCAGTGATGATCCCATGCCCCACAGCTAAATGAGCCTCATCACTAACCGATCGTAAACTCCAAGTGCATGATAATTTTTGGGGCTTTAAATCCATCTTCTAAACAACAGCGGTGGAGGAAAATAGAGTCTTATTCTTCGCACATTTTTTTTCTGTTCAAATCCATTCCTTTACATATCTGTTGACATCATTTCCTTTCGGATCATTTCCATATTCAACCACTCCATTTCCTCGCCAGTCCACCATGCAATCTATCAAATCCACATCACTGCTGCTGAGATCCTGGTCTTCCCTACCAACTTCCGGCCAATCGGAGCCTGATTTCTGCACAGGTTTCTGAAAATCCCGTCCTCAATAGATTAATTAGTCCTTTTATTGCCTCATCCCCTTCAAGGATGATCCAAAGTCAGTTTCTTCTCAGTTCAACTCGCGCCAGTCCATCGTCTTCCAATTACAATCACATTCTCCATCAAAACATTAGCTTCTAATTCGGTTGACTC